TAGAGAAAAACGAAACAACAGAATTTTGGCATTATAATGTACTAAACTATGATAATGTCGAAGTTATTACATTAAAATAAAATTTTAAAATTTGCTACAACTTGGTTCAAAAAAATTGCAAAAGGTGTCAAAGTGGATTAAGCTAATTTTCGAAATGCAGAGGAATGCAAAGGATTCTGAACAAACTTATCAATCAACAATTTTTTTTTTTTCAAAGGTGTTCGCTAGAAATTCTAAAATACCTGAAAAGATTATTGAGCGAATAACCGAACTTAGTTATTAAACGCAAATTAAGAAAAAATTTGAGAAAGATTTTCATGAAATTTTTTAGAATTTCGACGACTATTTCGAAGCGATCATCTATGTATGAACTACAAATATGGCGAAATACAGACGATCGTTTATTTCGTTCAATCATTTAACATGTGGAGCATACATATTAAACCTGAGAATTGTCATAAAATAAAAAATTGGAATAGTCTTAGAGAATTATTTAAATTTCTGTCGCCATGCGACAAAAATTTCTTACCATGATAATAGAGAGACAGAAGAATAACTTAATGGGTTATTGCACAATTCGGAGCGTCGAGTAAACTTGCCCAAAAATTCCGGGTGATCTTAGCGAACTCAGTTGTACTTCTATCGCCAAGACCCTCGAACATATTGGTCTAATGTGATAAACCAGCGGTGCGAGTCTAACCACTAATGGTGAAAGGTTTTTTTTAAAAAAAAGAGAAACAATGCTAATAATCAGCGAAATTTAACCAAAAATAGTGAGCGCTAATCAACATATTATATCAATTAGAATTAATAGAAAAAACTCAAGTTTTATAAAAAAAATAATAAGAAATGATAACAATGAACCAAGGAAATTTTAAAATATAGTCTTCTTAATATAAAATCGGAAAGTTAGTGCATCTAAATTTCTATAAAAAAAGACCTAAAGCGCACCAGTAAAAATGAATTTAATAATTGTGATTAGAAAACTTCATTTAGAAAAGAAGCCAATAATTGAGTGATTGGATATAGCTAATATGGATGTGAATATAATACAAATAGAGCTAATATAATTTGTTATATAGATTATGGATATTAGAAATATGCTTCTTTCGAAAAATGGCAAAGATATGGATATAATAATATTTTATGAGTTTCATTGGCTTTTTCATTTCTCAAAACATTTTAATTATTCGCTAAAATTTAATGAAATATAATTATTAATTATTAAAATTATTTAAATGAATTTTAAAAATTTTAAGAAATAAAGATTCGAAGAAATAATTGAAAAATGAGCCTTTTAAAATAATTAGTATAATTTAGAACGAAAATAGTTATAAAATATAAAATAATAATTAATAAAATAATCTCATCATTTTTTTTTTCCAAATAGCCATATAAATTATGGAATTATAAAATAATGATGAAAGATGCAGTGCGATTCAAGGTGAAAGGAGATTTTACTGAATAAAACATGATCCGAGGTCTCTCAAATCTGGTGAAAGGTGCAGGTCAAAGGGCTTCTATTGACTAAAATTCTAAATGAATGAATCGATAAAAAGGATTTAAAGGTGAATTTCTATTGGAAACTATATTAGAATACCGAACATCTTCTCGAAATAGTAATCAATTTTCCATTTTATATTTGAAAATAAACCACTTGTTTAATTTTTATTCGTTTTCGAATAATTCATTTTGCTCTAAGCGAATTTTATTTCAATAATATTTGATCATTTCAATATTTTGCTATAAATTTCGAAATGCCGTAAGAAATTCGGTATATTCGCTTTATTTATTTTTAATAGCGCTTTCCTTTTGTTTTTTTTTTTCATAATTTTGAATTATTCGAAATTGAAAATCTTAAAGGTTTTAAAGACGAAAGGTTCAAGGATAACAAGGAAAAAGGTCTTTAATTTTACAGAAAACGAGAATTTAAGGAAATTTTCGAACAATTTTTATAAAATTTTTCGTACTATTATGGTTGTAAGTGTAGAATTCTCAATGGGTTATTGCTTAATTGGGAAAAAATCGATAAGGTTCTATTTCCCGAAAGGGTAAACCTGTCGCAAAATCTGGGTGATGCTGGTGGCTCATCTGTAATTCTATCGTTAAGGCACTCCTTGGCATATTTCTCTTGGACATGCCAGCAAAGCAAGTCTCCAAAAATGGTGAGGGCTTTTAGAAAAAAAAATATTGTGATTGTGCATTTCAATTATAATAATTGCATTTGCAGTCATAATAATTCTATTTCATTTCCATCGTACCAACGACTTTGGATTCTTAAGAATATATCGGAACGAATTGCTAGAGGGAGTTTTATCAAGAGGAAGTTTGCCGTCGATCTTCTAAGTGCTTTCGGCCTGTGCTGCCTTTATATTAATATTAATTGATATTATTATATTATATATTAAAAATTATTTGAATTGCTAGTGTTTCAAGTAAATTTAAATGAAACTCAGCATGATTGCAGCATGATTGTTTGATAATATATTAATTACGTGGAGGCGTGTTAATATGACCTATGACAGTTTTAAAGGCAAGTTCTGCAATATCTACTAGCGTATATGCTCCAATATTGAGGGGAAATGGATAGGGAAAGGATAGATTTTTTTTGGGACTTAATCAACTTCAACAGACAAGTGATATGTTGATGGAGAAAGTGATATGTCTCTGATTTGTTGTAAGCTATGCTATGCTTCCAGTATCATATTTGCTTATATCTGGTTACTCTTGATATAACCAATATTTAAGTTAGACTGATTATATTATGGTCAAATAATATTTGCTAAGAAGGGACGATATAAAAAAAAAACGATATGGAAAATTTATTAAATAATTCGTTTAATTCATTTTTTTCTTCATGATTTATCGTTCTGTTTGTTCATTAAGTTATATAAGCAATACGATTGCTTAATCGGGACAAATCAACAATCTTTATGCGCCAGACTGTATTATGATCCATATGAAACTGGCAAGCCATAGGCAGAATCCTCCGGACTTTTTTGATTGTCTTGAATTAAAAGATTCAAAAACTCATTTCAAGTTTTTAGAAAACCCTCAAAAACCCTAACAATACTGATGTTTCGAAGGTAATTCATGAATAGTTCAATCATACGAGGCACCAACTTGAAAGGGAAAATTAAATTTCGACTATCCCATTGTATATTGGAACACCACTAGCATCGTAAATTTGAAGTATATTTTCCTATATTAATTTTTTATTTATTTTTCATTTTTGAACTAAAAAATATGTATGATATGATAAGAAATGTGATAAGGTGTAAGGTGTTGCGGCGTAATAATTGTATCGTATTCTATAGTTATATCATTGGCAACTTTTCAAAATAAATCCAGAAATTCATCTATATTTCTAATCTAAAAATTCGCAAATTTTGCAGAATTTTTTTTAATTTTTTAATTCACCGACATACATTCACCGAATAACAGTGTTTTCAAATCTTTTATTGATAAAATAAAAATGAAATCTTAAAAAAAGAAGGAACTAATTTGATATGAATTGATTTTCCCAAAAAATAGAAAAATAAATATTTTGATTTTGAAAAAAAAAAGTTCATATAAGATTCATAAAATTTAAGAATTAAATGAATTTCACAATATTTTTGAAGGGGTTTTGTTGAGAAAAAATTGAATCCATGAACAAAAGATCCATTATCCTTGAGAAATGAAGAAAATGACATTCATTCATTGCATTCATATTCGAAAAAAAAACGTTAAAAAAAAAGAAATAATCGGTGAAGCAGTTAGCAGTATAAGCATTAAATACTTGGGAAAAATAAAGAAATGATTTATAAAGATTTGCAAAATAAAATTAATAAAATATGATTTGCTTTATTTGCTTTATTTTAGCTTTAGAATGGAACGCCAATGTTGAGGTTCTACTCCTAGCAAAAATACTGCTTGCCAAACAAATGCAATAGAATTAACAAAATTTGCTTGGCTTTACTAAGCCAACGAAACGTGCTTAAGTTAGCGCTATAAGAAAAAATACTTGTAAAAGATTAAAATACCAGTAAAAAATTCGAAAAACAAAATTCACTTTATTTTGGTAAAGAAATATTCCACTGAACTTATAAAATATCAAACTTATCATTGAATATGCAAAAAAAAGAGGAATCATCCGCTTCATTTTATTACAAATTTGCAAACTGCTTGCTGCACGCATTTCTGCATGAATTAGCCATTCGTGAAATAATCATAAATTTATTAAAATTTGCCAAAATGTTTCCAAAATATTTCAATAATTATGTATTAATTTTTAAAATACCGGAATTTTCTTTGAAAAATTAAAAGAAAAAAGAGTCGAAATCGGAGAAAAGCAGTTAATTTTTTCCCTAGGAAATTCTCAGACAAAGAAACAGTATATAAAAAGTTAATTGAAAATATTCGTTGGAGCTATCACCAAGTTTGATACAATCAGATAAATTTGGTTAGATATATTCCATATCAAAGATATCCATATACTGGATACAATCCGCATGTGAAGCAAAAGTACCATAAGGCTTCCTTAATAATACGGAGGAAAATATGCAATATTTCACTTTTTTGCATTTTGCATATCTATATTTTCACTGAACTGAGTTGTTCATGAAAATCTCATCAAATCTAATCAACTAAAGACTTTTATTCTTCTTTAATTTTACTTTTGGAAGAATAAGTAAATAGGAAAGAAATGAATTAATATGAAAATTAAACATGAATAATCATTGTTCTCGAAAAGTATTTAATAGTACACATTTTATCATTCTGATAATACTGATATGTCTTGATTTATTTAATTTTATTTTTATTTCATAGCAGTAAAAAACAAACAGTAAAAATAAAGAACGCAATAAATAAATGATAAGAAAATGATAAAAAAACAATTAAATAATAATAAATAAATAATAATAAATTAAATAATAAATAGCTATTAAAAATTAAATGTTGAAAATTATATTAATTATATTATATTATGATGAATTCGATTTGTTTGATCAATTGAATTATCGTTGGATTCTTGAATGACCAAAATCGGGCACCGTCTTACAACAATAACATTCAAGAAGTTTTAGCGCTGTTGGTCTTAATTGCTTCTTCATTTGTGGACTATAAATATTTAATTATTTCTTATCGATATCTTATCAAAAAAAATAAAAATGCTAAAATTCATAAAGCATGAATCTAATCGCTACAAAAAAACATTTTTTTCCTTGTTTTCAATTAATGGCAAATAAAAATCACAAACCTCCAGAAAATATACATATAAAAAAGAACTGCGTGATGCAAATAATATAGAAGAAATGTAGCGAAATATATTAACTGGAACAAGACCGATGTTGGATTAAATATTGAAATATATAAACGAAATACATAATTTGGTACCGTCAAGCAAACAAATGTACTGTAAACACACTTTTCTTTAATAAATAATACCAAATAAAATTGAAAATTTTTATGCAAATTTTTTAAGTTAAACGGTCCAACATCATATTTTCCCTGAATTTTGGTTTATTCTATTCAAATTTTTTAACATCTTTATCAGTCTTATCACCTTTTTTTCCGGTAAAAAATATAAAATGTAAGAATATAACTTTTTGATTAAATATATTATTTGTATTATAAGAGTAATTCTATCTAAAATTTGAGTGACAATTGACGAATCTATATCCCTAGATGACTCTACGGTGAAATACTCATGACAAATAACTTCCATCTATTCCGATGCGCATTACACTCTAGTAGATGCAAACTACAAATATAAAGCAGGCCAAAATTAAATATAAATCTGCTTGCTTTTAGTGGCGAAAATTCTAGAGAAATCCTCTGGACTCAGTAGAGCATGGCTAAGATATCAATGGATCATTCGGTGAGGCATTATCCGTAGTTGCAGAGAACTTGTATAGAATATGCATTTGGCGGTGACGCGATAATTACCCAAACGTTGTACCACCTGCACATTACTTTAGTGGTTCGTCCACATGGTTGCCCATTAACAATAGCATGACTATTTTAAGAGAGTCGATCGGATGATATATAGAATCTTACCAGGTTATTAAAAAAAGATTAAGACTAAAAAAATCATAGAAAACTTATATTTCATCAGCCAAAGAGCGTAAAAATCACAACATTATATTAACATAATAAATATTTATTATATAATAAATATTAATATAATATTAGTATAATATTAATAATGTAATATTAATAATGTAATATTAATTATTAATATAATATTAATAATCTTAGCATAATAAACATAAATAAATATTTTTATTATAATAAATATTTTTTTATTATTATTATAATAAATATTATATTATTAAGGTAAGAAAACTAAATAAACCTTGTAACAATTAATAATGACCGACTAAGTTGCAAATCAGATGAGCGCAATTTACCACTTTTCGTCGATAAATGTGATTGTATGCTAGCAGTTTGACTTTGTTGACTCAATAAGCGCAATGCATTTGTGGTTTCATCCTAAATTTCTAATAATCTAATCTAGATAAAGGCAAAATTATTCTAATAAAATAGAAATTTTTAATCTTTATTGGATAAAAATATTAGGAAATTTGATTAAAAAAACAAAAATTTTTATTGCTTATATTGTAATTTTTATTTTCTACGAAATGACAGATAGCAGTTAATCAGCTTATCAGCAAAAAAAAAAACAAACTGGAACATGATTCGTATCATCAACGATTGTTCGATGAAATCGAACACGTAAAACACCAGATGAATATATTTTCATACATTGTCTATATCGATACACTGATAAACTATTGACCACAGAAATAAGAACCGATGGTACTATAGTACATATTACCGTATCAAGAAATGTGAAATAAAAATGCATATCTGTAAACTCATATCTGAAAAGCAAATTAATACTTATTTTTAATAATTTAATAATTGTTATGTTTTATTAATATGTAGGAATAAACTTATCCACAAACTTATCCAGCTAATGCTGGCGATTCACCTATATTTCTATCACTAGAGAATCCTTTGGCATATTTATTTATTCTGACAAGCCAACAATGGGAATTTAACTAAAATAATAATAATTTCACCCCATAAGTGATAAATTTCCTGATAATCCACAATACAGTGAACCCTCTTCTTCTTCTAAGCCTGCTGAAAATAAACACCACGAATATAGTAAGCAAGCGCATGAAATAGTAACAATCACCATATTTCGAGCGAATTTTTTTGAACAAAGTTTCTTTCTTATACCTGAAGAAAAAAAAAAAAAATTTGCCTATATGATGTGCTTTTTAGAAATTTCAAAAAATGCCTTAAGGCAATTCGATAGAAGCTTAATGATTCAAAATTGAATTATATGAAATTCAGCAAATTTTTCTCACAAATTTTTTCGTTTAAAGATTTTTTTTTGATGTCGAAAATATAAAAAAATATTTTATTTATTTATCAACAATTTTATGCAAAAAAAGACTATCGCACTATTACAAAACTTATAGGCAACTTGAACGTTGAATGGGATAGAAATGATTGAAACCACGAATCGGACTCTTTCTGGCGGTAAATGAATTAGTTTTTTTAAGCTATTAATACTAAAATATAGATAAAAAATTTTTTATATTAAATATTTTATAAGAAATATTATAAAAGAAATGAAATATATTTATTATATTTATTACGAATAACCTGGGCGAAATAAGACGATAGCTCGATCGCAAGAAATCCACGATATCATCCAGACACAGTTAAAATCACTCATATGTGCAAAAAATGTTAATAAACGGCAGCCAAATTCTGATCCATTATATAATGGAATTTCAAGAGTTCCATCCAACCATGTAAATAATACGGTTATAAGAAAAAGGCAACTACATAACGATAATGTACATAAATAAATATTTGACGTTAATCTTTTCAACCAGTAATTAGTCCTGAAATTACGCAAATTATGCAAATTATTATAAAATATTTTATAAAAAAAAAACAAAATTAAGTTACTTTAAGAGATAATTTATTTAATGAAAACTTTATGCTTTTTTTTTCGAAAATTACAGAGATCAATTCTAAAAAAGCCCTAAGGAAATCTTTGTTATGAATGGAATGGAATGGAATTTTAAAAAAAAATTTGTCAAAATTCAAAAATCTACGAAATTTCTTATTGAATAAACGAACTGAACAAAACTGATTATAATTCGATTTATAATTAAATTAAATTTAATTAAATTAAATTTTAAGGAAATTAAATTTTGAACAATGTAAAACATTCACTTATATTTCTTATGCTCAATAATCCACCTTCGGCGAATTATTCGTTGACGTTTTAGTCTCACGTCAAGTTGACGTGTTTTGTTTAGGTCGGCTTAAATGAATAAAAAATTAATCAAACCTTATAAGTATTAAAGCCATGCAATTCCCCAAAATTCCAATAATACAAAAACACGGAATCACGTGTCGTGCGTAATATCGTAATGTTAACAAAATTTCACGTCCCAGAAAATAATCATACGTCTCATTAAAAATCTCTGCGTTTGATTGATTTTCCATATTATAATAAAAATAATAAACAAAATATTATTTTTGAAGAATATATTATAATTATTTCTTTTTTAAATACCAATTATAAGCTGTAAATTAATCAAATTAATCGTTTAGAAATTAATTCTATTCATAAAAATCGCCAAGAATGACAACGGCCTAAGTTAACTATTTTATCTTTATCCGCTAGCCAATCTATAAAAATTTCCTCCAAAAATAATATTTATTATTAAATTATAGAAGGAATGACTAGCTCGATAATTATTGCTCACATTTTACGAAGGGTTGATTTTGGCTGTTGGGTCATCTTAGTACGAGCAAATCTATCTTTCAAAAATTCTCGATAATGCTGGCGAATGCATGCGCACTCATAATTTTTTCCTCAAGCAAATCCAAGGCAAAATTCGTTCGACTAGTCCAGTGGAACAAATCTAACCAGAGGTTCGATTCTCCGCAGGAGTAAACCTGTACAAAAATCCTGATGCTGGAGACTCACTTGTATTTCTATCGCCAAGGGACTCCCTGGCATATTACCCAATGCGACAAGCCAGTGGAGCAAGTTTAACCAGTAATGGTGAGGATTCTTAAAAAATAGAATGGTAAATTTTTTTTTTCTGGGTAAAAAGAAAATTGAGATATGTTGCACATGAAGTTGCACGCGACAACACTTTAAAAACTATTAAAATTTGTTTCGAAATAATTGAATTTTATGCAATTATAAGAAAAAAAAAGTGTCGAAAACAGTGATTTTATGAAAGAGAATTTGTAAAAAAATATTCTATTAAAAAAAATCTAAAAATACGAGTAAATAAACTAATAAAACAAACATTGAAATGAAAAGCAAAAAATTTCCCTATCCTTATTTCGATTTGTTGATAGATATTTGTTTCCTTTATATAAACTATAATATCATCTAATATCTAATATTATCGTTCATCATACTCCTCTTATCAACAAATTATCATTGATCATTAATTATCATTATTCATATTCACTTTTTTTTTTTTAAAATAACTCACCATTTACTGGCTTGGCTTGCTTCGCTAGCTCATTGAATTGGATAAATTTTATCAACGAGTCATTTGGCACGATAAAAATCTTCAAGCCAAATTCATTTTCATATTTAATAAAATATTAAAAATCAAACAAATTTAATAAAAATATAAAAACTGTCAAATCTTAAATTAATAGTTCATCAAATTCATAAATAAGCTTTTAATGGACCTGAATAAAGCAAAGTAAAGCAAAATTATAAAATATGAACAATGAAGTAAAATCTTCATTGTTAATTTTATAAAAAGCCACAAAATTTTAATCAAAAAAATGAAAAGAAATCTTTTTTTTCAATTTAAAACGACAAATAATTTATTTTTTATTTTCTTTTTTATTATTATTATGTATTATTATTATGCAAAATTATTTCATTGAGTTTCATTCGTTTTTTATATAACACAAATACTATTAATACTATTTTTTTCAATTAATACTATATTTATTATTTAATAAAATTAAAATTAAAATTAAAATTTTAAAAAATTAAAATTTTTAAAAAATTCAAATACAATAATAAAATAAAATATTTGTAATTTTGAAATAAAGAAATGATAGAAGCAAAAAAAAAGCTAACGGCAAAATTATTTTTACATATAAATAGCTAAAAGAACCAAAAAATTATAATAATATAGAATACAATATGAGAATATTAATAATAATAATGAATACAATTTTATCAGCATTAATTGCGATCAGCAACATCATTATCAGTACATTGTTGTATATATTTATTACATGTTATTTTATATATTTATGGATCTTCCTGATCCCTGGATCCTTTATCAAAAGCGGTTTGAATGTATAGCTTTTCTTATTATTTTGCACAGATCTTCGCTACTATTACCATTAAAACCATTTTGGTTTTTACTTTTTACGCATTCTCTAGTCCTTCTTCTAGGTGTGTTTCTCTAGACTCTCATTATTTCTAATCTGATGTTGTTGTTGCTTCATGTTGCTATGTTTGCCACTACTGCCACGTTGCCTAATCACTTACTGGATCGAACTATACCACAGGATCTTCGCGTTTTTGTTCCATATGATATGGAATCTCTCATTTGATCTATTCTTAAGAAACATCTAGTTCATACACATATTGTGCAGATATTTCTGCGTACTTGATTATGCAGTTCAGTATAGACTATCGCTATCATTATCATTTATTATCATTTGCCTCTTATTCTATTACATTATTATCATTGCTATTACTCTTATCTGCATCTTACATCCTCTCAATATATATATTTACGGCAATAAAAAATGGTAAATTAAGCAAAATGATTTGCCATAAAAGCGGTATATTCATTCATTTACTAATTTCTCGGAAAAAAATTCCTCAAAATTATTTGATGATTGAATTAAAATTCATATTTATAGTTGTTGAAATGAAATATAACCTCGATTAATCTAAAATAATAATAAAATAATAATAAAATAAAATTTTTTCTTCTCCCCAATTCAAAAATATTTTTTCTTCACCATCGCAAATTTAATTTAATTTATTAACAATTAATTTAGCAAGAAAAATTTTAATTTTTATAATCAAAAATCTATTATAAATGTAAATGAAAAATCAAGCCAGTTGTTACTACTTAATTTTTTATTGAACTCAATTTTTATATCTAATTCTTTTATTTTAGAAAACCATTGAATAATTTCTATTCATTAGCAATCCATTATTATCATTATCCCACTATCGTCATCATAATCACTATTATTGGTATTGTGATATTGATAACATTATTAAATTATCACTAATGAAATAAAATATTCATTAAGAAATGCATAATAAAATATATATAATATATAATAAAATATATTTTCGTAGTGTAAAAGAAAAAACAGCCAGGCAAATGTTTTTTCCACTAATTTTTCGTTTAATCCACTTAATTTTTTTTGCTGAAATTTGCTCTTTTCTTTCGAATAACTAATATAAATAGGAATAACAAATTAAAAAACATAAGAAAAAAAGAAAACCAAAAAAAAATACTCAAAAGATTTCAGAACGAGTAACTTATGGGTAATTACGATAATAAATAGTAATTTACCTAAGATATTTCTAAGATACCTAAGATACCTAAGATATAATATTTTTTGTTACCTAAGTGGAAAAAGAAATGTGATAATAAATATGATAACAAGCAATATAAATAAAGCTTCTAAAGTTACAAGTCAGTTATTGTATAAATTGAATTGTATAAAAAAGAAATATATGTGGACCAGCAATATATGGACTTAGACGATGGAGAAAGGAATGGCTTCTATTACTGTCGACAAAGGCATCAGATCATGCAGCGTGATACCCTTAGCCAGTGGATTCAGCCAGTAATGTTGTGAGAGTTTTTATCTAAGAACCCTCACCATTAGCGATTGGAATTATTTCGCTGGCTGATCACACTAGACGAATATATGCTAGATGGCCAGCATCCTCCGAATTTTTGGATAGGTTTACTCTTGCGGATGAGAATTTTTAGAAGAAGAATAAATAAAAAAAAATGCTAGCGTTTGATATTTTCAAGTAGATTTCCTTTTCTATTAACTATTAGTACTTTTCGAAATTTTCGCCACGAAATCATTTAGCAATAGAAGTACAAAAGGATTGTCAAATTTAATCTAACCTAATATCTCAATTAATTCTATTCCCTCAATAATAGCTAAAATAAAGTTTAGCAAAAAGATCGTTGAATTTTTTAAAAAGAAAGGAAAATTTTTTTTCGAAAAAAATTTTTTGATCACCTAAAGAAAGAAATTTTATTTGCCTTCTTTTGCATTAATACTAAATACCTTTCTTTACATAAGCTATATTACTTAAATTAAGCCGAATTTCCGATGATAAAACTAATGTTTAAAATGTAATTAACCAGTAATTATTGGATATTTGTACCATAAAAATTCTATTAATTCGCAAATGATTAATGTTTATTGATAATGTATTAAAATTAAATTGAATTTTTTAAATTTTTCATATATTAATTTTGAAAATTTATATTTTTCAAGAAGATTTTCAAATTTTCATTTTTCTAAACGCTAAAATTCCTCTTTTTTTCCCGAGAATTCTCGAGAAATCCTTCTGAGGTGAATTTCAAAAAATTAGATTTTCAAAGATTTTCCATTTTTCATTTTTTCAATAGTTTTATTTTTTACACCAAAATTCATTTTTTCCGTATGAGGTGAAAACAAGGATTAGTTTTTTCATTTTAAAGTTTTTGGTTTTTTTCCTTTTTCCAATACTTTTTATTTTTGTTTGCCAAAATCCTTATCCTTTTATTCCCATATTTCTCGTTGTTTAAACGTGAAACGCGAAACTTTTTAAATTATTCTTTCGCTGGAGAATCTTCTAGCAATTACATCTGATTACATTTTTATCAGCTGCAAATGAATTTTACTTTTAATGAGAAATTTGTTTCCGCTATGCGATAAGAGTCGAACATATGCTAATTCTCTCTCAGCAATAATAGCATAAAACTCAAATAAAATCTCTCTATTGAATATAAATTTAAAAAAAAAAACAAAAAATGTGTAAAAAGTTTAAAAATTCATAAAATTTTTTAGACGAAAAAATATTCACCAACGATTTTATTAGTGAATAAAATTTCTAGCAAATTAACTGTTTTTTTTTTTTGACTATTATTGAACGTCTTAGTTATTTAATAATTCATCAATAAGATGTTAATAATTTTGTGTGCAAAAATTTTCATGGATTTGTTTTTTTTTGCATAAGTTGGGAAATTTTAAGAAAATTATTCATTTTTTTCATCTTATATTTCTTATTTTTAAATAATCCACTTAAGTTGTTGTTAGTAGATGACCCAGTGGTGCAACCGAGAATCGAGACTTGTGTTTGAATCCATCAAAGTACCACTTCTCATCGGCCGATAGTTTCGCTTAACGGAGAAAAACGTAGGAGGGTAGAATGGCTCAATATAGGTTGTTGCACAATTCAGGACGGTGATTTTTCGGCAGGAATAAACCTGTCCAAAAATTCTGGTTATGCTGGCGACTCACCTGTATTTCTATCATCAAGAGAATTGCGTGGTATATTTCTCTAGTTCGACAAGCAAGAGGAACGGGTCCAATAGGTAACATTTCATCATTAATGAGGCTGCCTCAACTGGTTACAAGGATAAGACGTCTCCAAACAGCTCGGTCCGACGCTATCGCTAATAGAAATAGAAGCAATTCCTTTTTCCGCTGCCTAAGTCC